CTGCCCTCCCCTTCCCCCACGCCTCCCTCCCAGGGCACTGGCCCAGCGTATGTCTCTGATTAGTGGCCCTGCGGTAGATGGGAGGAGGGCACACACAGAAGCAGAAAACGCACGTTTTCTGCTGGCTGTTGCCCTTGAACCGGGGTTTGCAACCTCCTCAGTTAACGTTCCTGCAGCCCAAGGTGCCCAGTCCCCAAAATCAAGCCCAGGGTCAAGGACAGAGTCTCCCCGAGGTGTGGGCTCTTGCCACTCCATGGTCTTAGATCGTCTCTCTGGATGGTTTGGGCAGCATCAACAAAGGCTCCATATCTGGGACCCCACGGCTTCACCCCAGTCAAACCCCACATGGCCCAATGATCTGCCCAGGGACTCTGTCACCACCAAAGTTGATGCTGCCCGGTCCTCCTCACTTGAAACTTCAATAGTCCACACAACTTCAGAGCAGTGAGTGCAGTTCGCATGTGTGGTGTTAATGACAAGGCAGCGCCAATGGCTGAGGCCATGGTAACTAAAAGGTAGAATTCTTGCCTCCCACTTGGGAGACCCTGGTTCGATTCCCTGTCATTGCACCTCATATGCACCTTCCATCTGTCAGTGGGGACCCGTGTGTCTCTGTGATGAGAGACAGATTTCAGTGGGGTGCATAGGAAAATTACATCAGGCTACAAGATGAAACCTCATCACATACAACTAAGAATCATGGCAGAGTCAAATGAACACAGCTTTGGTGGGGACACACTTCACACCATGGCATGGAGCCACCCCGGAGCTGACTGACAACCAGAGAGTGGAGGTGGGTGATAGCTCTCACCTGAACCCAGCGGGGGCAAGAGATGTATCCCCCGACCCCCAGACCCTCCATAAGGGCCTGCCAGACTGTCCTGAGTTTGCACACCTGTGTGAAACAGGTGGGTGCAGGAAAGTTGAGTAAATAAACACACAACAACCCAGGTGAGTTGGAAAGAGCTTCCTTCTCACTTCTTCCTTGTCCCCACTCTGACCATGTGAGGAACCTGTAGTCAGTTTGGACTAACAGTAACCCTGGCCAGTCCTGCACTATCCGACCAGTTAGGACCCAGGTAAACAACAACAACAATCAAATAAGAAACTGACCCCTGAAACACCATGGTCAGAGTAGAGCAGGGGCCCATACAGTTTTCAGTGGCTGATTTTTTTTTCAGAAGTAGATTTCCAGGCCTTTCTTCTGAGGTGCCTCTGAGTAGAACGTACCTCTAGCCTTTCTGTCAACAGCTGAGCATATTTGATATTTGTACCACCCAGGGGCTTCATGGCCCTGAAGAACCCTGATACAATTGTGTACATCCTTGTAGAAAGTGGCCTTTGCATGCTCTGAACAGTGAACAAAAAAACAAAAAGAAACATTTATAACCCACTGCTATTGGGCCGGTTCTGACTCAGAGCGACGCCTGACGGGTTTTTGAGACATCTGTCTTGACGGGACCAGGCGGCCACATCTTTCTCAGAATATTGGAAAGTGCGGATAACGCTGCGGGGGTAACGCTGCGGCCACTCCCCCACCCAATGTACTCCATTCAGCCGCTCATCAACCTTTCAGAACCATCTGTCACATTAACTTTTCCGAGTTCTCCTGTTTTCTACTAAAGTTGTTTGACCTCTGATTCCATGACAACATAGCTTTCAAATACTGCTCTAGTCGATGAAGCTTATTTATAGGCACAGGCTGTGCGATGCTAATTAGAATCTTCATCTGATTCTGGAGCTAGGCAAATTGGTGTGATGCTTGCAGTTTGCATTGAGTAACTGTGTGATGTTGAACATGTTACTTAACCTCTCTGTGCTTAAGTCACCCAGTGCCGTAAGTGGCGATTATGTTAAGTGCCATGAAGTCAATTCCGACCCATAGCAACCCTATATAGGGTTTTCAAGGAGCGGCTGGTAAGCTTGAACCGCCAGCGACTTTGCAGTCTGACGCATTAGCCCACAGTGCCACACCAGGACTCCAGTACCTCCTTATGTTGGCTTCCTAGAAACACCACATGTTTCTTGTAAGAACCATGGTATTTTCAGTCACCTCATCTGCATGTGCAAGTTGGATCATGAATAAGGAAGACCGTAGAAGAATCGATGCATTTGTATGATGCTGGTGGTGAAGAATATTGAAAGTACCATGTGCTGCCAGCAGAACAAATCTCCATTGTTAGAAGCACAGCCAGAATGCTCCTTAGAAGCCAGGATGATGGGACTTCATCTCTTGTTCTGTGGACATGTTATCAGGAGGGACCAGTCCCTGGAGAAAGGCATTATGCTTAGTAAAATGGAGGGTCAGTGAAAAAGAGGAAGACCCCCAAGTAGAAGGATTGACACAGTGGCAGGGACAATGGGCTGAAACCTAGCAACAGCTGTGAGGATGAAGGAGGACTGGGCAGTGTTTCATTGTGATGTGTACAGTCACTGTGAGTTGGACCCAACTCAACAACACGTAACAACAACAATCTTGTAAGAACAGAAATAGATCAACTCACAGTCTGCGACAGGAATTACAGTAACCTTCTCTCCGCCAGTGTCTAGCTGATCCCTGCTTTGGGGTATGAGACTTGGGACTCACGGAGGCAGCCCAAGCATCTGGGGTCCCAAGTGGGGAGAGGTCAGCTCAGCCGGAGCAGCTGGACATGGGGCAGAGAAAGGTTATGAGCCTATATTGCTTATTCACCCCCTGCTCTGGAAGTTCCATCTGAGGGGCCATGGGGAGCGTCTCTGTCCTGGAAGTTCTGTCAGAGGGGGGCCGTGGGGAAGATTTCCACCCCTCCCACTGGAAGTGTCCTGGTGGTACACTGCAACAAGCCTCTTGTGCTGATGCCCCCTGCCCTCCCCCAGCAGCCCTGCAGTGCATGGGGGGGTGTCCACCGGGGCTGCCCTGGAAACAGCTGGCTGTGTTTGTGAGTGTGAACGTGTTGGCGCTAAGCCAAGGTCTCCCCTTGCAGGACACCCTGAGCCCTACCCACATGGGTTCTGGTTCCAACTTCCCCATGCGGCTTCCAAGGACTGTCCCAGAGACCTCGGCTTCACTGGCCTGGCTAGTTCCATTTACTGAGGGTCATATGACTTTTTTACTTTTCCCCCAGCAAATTATAGAGCCTTCTGGTAGCATAGTGGTTACGAATCGGGCTGCCAACCGCAAAGTCAGCAGTTCGAAACGACCAGCTGTTCTACAGGAAAAAGATGAGGCTTTCTGCTCCCGTATAGATTTATAGCCTCGGAAACCGTGTTCAGGGTCGCTATGAGTTGGAACCGACTCCTCGGTACATAACAACAACAACAACTTTATGTGTGGTGCTGTGGGTTAATAATGTGCCAGACTGCAAAGCCATTTGAACTGCAAGGTCGGCGGTTCAAGCTCACCAGCTGCTCCTTGAAAATCCTGTACAAGGTTGCTGTGGGTTGGAATCGACTCAACGGCACATAACAACAACATTAGTCTAATGAGGAGTTCTGATAGCATAGTGGATTATGAGCCGGCTGCTAACTGCAAGGTCAGAAGTTCAAATCTACCAGCTCCTCCAAGGGAGAAAGATAAAGCTTTCTGCTCTTGTAAGGATTTACAGCTTTGGAAACCCTAGACGGGGTTACTGTGAGTCGACACTGACTCGAGATAGCACACCACCTCGTCTCTCTACTTGGAGTCCTGGTGTGGCACTGTAGCTAAGAATTGTAACCACAAGGCCAGCGGTTCAAATTCACCAGCTGCTCCTCGGAAACCTTATACAGGGTTGCTATGAGTTGGAACCAGCTTGATGGCCTCAAACAACATTAGAATAAGGATCCGTAACATGACGTGCTTGGTGGTTAACTGAAAGGTGGGCAGGAGAGGGAGCGGGTGGTCTTACCGTGGGGATGATTCTGACAGCTGGAGACTCTGTAGAACCGAACATCGCTGCCCCACAGTGTGTCTGAGACTCAGTCTTTATAGAAGCAGGCTGCTTCAGTGTTTCCCTGGGGTGCATTCGAACTGGTGGCTTCAAACTACTTTCCTTTTGGGTTAGCATCTGAGAACTTCAACCATCGTGCCACCATGGTTGCTTTCTGTAAACTTCCAGATATGGGGCAATTCTGCTCTGTCAGATGGGGTCCCAATGAGTTGGCATCAACTGACTGTCACATAGCAATGAAGGTTTGTGTGCTCCCCATCTGGGGGACACATCTGTGAGTGGAGAGTTTGATGAAGCACTTTCTCTTTGAGCCTCTTCCCTGGGATGGGGGGCTGGCTTGTGTTCCCAGGCTGGTCAGAAAAACAGAGACCCAAGCTTTGCATGTTGGGACCCAGTGGGCCTGGAGAAGGACTCGCATCCCAGGTCCTGGTCTTGGGGGTCTCAGGACTGTCACGGTTAATGCCCACCCCCTATCCCTTCTGGACACAGCCCCTCTCTTCCATTGGTGTCACGCCTTGAAATTCCAAGGGTTTTGAGGGAGGAGGGAGCCCTGGTAGCACTGTGAGTTGAGCATTGGACTATAATTGTAAGGTAGCTAGTTTGAACCCACCAGCTGCTCCGAGGGAGAAAGATGTGGCTGTCTGTTTCCATAAAGACTGGCAGTTTTGGAAACCCTGTGGGGCAGTTCCCCTTTGTCCTGTAGGGGCGCTGTGAGTTGGGATGGACTCCGTGGCAGTGTGTTTTTTGAGAGAGGGAAGGGTGGCATTGGACAAGGTGAGGAGATGTCGCAGCTGCCATCTGAAGAGTGAATGGAGCCTTCGATGGTGTCAACATCGATAAAAGTAGATTTCTGTGACAAGCCCGAACCCCCAGGTCACTCATGGTAGAGAGGAGAGCTGGGCTCCGTAGGGTTTCCTGGGTCACAGTCTTTATGGGAAGCAGATTGACAAGACGTTCCTTCTGGGGCATCCCTGAGTGGGTTCGAACCACCAACCTTTTAAATCATAAGCAAGCATTGAACTGTTTGAGCCATCCAGGAGCTCATCCATGGTGTAGTGGACGTCCCATTGAATCTGATTTCCATTCTTGCAGGTGGCGATCATAGCGGGCAACTTTGAACTGGCAGAATACATCAAGAACCACAAGGAGACGGATATTGGTGAGTAAAATCGTGGATTGACCAACGCCGGGTGCTGTTAGCTCTGGAGATGTTCATCTGGAGTTTTGAATGCTCATGATCACATGGGTTTTGAGCCCGTTTTTAGCTTAGAGAGCACACTTTTCGCATCCTTTCTATCTCTGGGATGGGGCTATGGAAAATCTTAGAAGTCCCTCACACGTGGGAAGTCACTAATCATTAAGAAGTGTATTCATGGTGCTGATGTTCAATCATTGAATCTAATTAATCACGATGCACTTAGACAGTTCATTGGAAAATGCCTTAACCTAAGAACTTCCTTGTAAACCAAGAGTGACACCCCAAAAAAGGGTCCCTCTCTCTGCCTCTTCTCTCGCTGCCCCTAGCAATGTGCTCATGGTCATCCCCCTTTCCAGTCCCCCTTGTGCCAACCAGGAGGCCAGTCTCTGGGGCGCCTCTTCTCTCCCGAAGCCCTGTTGGGGGCTGGGCCCGGTCCTTCGTCTCAGAGGAGCCCCGTGGTCTGTACCCTCCAGTCCCGGGTTTACACAGGACCAGCAGCGGGGAACAGTTCCATTGGACCGCCAGTGGTGAGCTTTCCAAGATGGCGGCATCCTATCCATGGGGTGCAGGAGGGTTGCTCCGGGCGCTTGAGACCTCACTGGATGTATCCGCTTCCCATGGCCTTGTGCCCCCCACCCTGTGTTTGTTGTTGGAGGTGATGAGCGAGAGAGACCTTATGTTTTGTGGCCGAATCTCTATTGTGTTAAATGCTCGTATCCACTTGCCTGGCTCAGAGAATTGCACAAGATGCAAATTGCACTGCTTTGCTTGCATCGGCGAGCGCCCTGCACTGAGCATCCAAGCCCCCTGGATGCCCCGTCTGATGCAGCTGCCACTTGCCCCCTCTGGGGAGACAGGGCCAACCGCATAATTGCTCGGAGACCCGGGGCTTTGCTGAGGTACGTCAGCACCTCTGAGCGCGTTAGAGAGATTGATGAGTTAATGTCTGCAAAGTGATCTGGAAAATGACACGAGTGGTCGGCTTGCCAGCGACGCTCTTCCCACCTCCTTCTTCTTGCACGTGCAGGACAAGCGGGATGCACTCACTGGGAAGGGGAAGGGGGACTCGTATTAAGCGGGGACACACATGAGGGAAGAATAGAGATGAGAGAGTAGTCAGATCCCAGAACACGAGCTGGAGCGTTCCGAACGCAGAGCACCAGAACGAGATGCAGCTGAGTGACCCTGATGGTCAGCAGCACTGGCCATCCTTACTGAGTGCTGATCTCCAGGGACCAAGAGAGGCGGGGGAGCTCAAGTGGCTTTGTTAACCCAGCCCACTCTGGAGCTGGGAGCTCCTTGGGGCTTTTGGTCCTTGCTCTAATCCTTCGGTCTACCTACAGCTGATCCAAGACACCATCCCCCAAGCCCCACTTCGTGCCTCTCCCAGTCCCTGGAAAAGCATCAGCAAGTTTGAACTCCAGGTAGGAGAGGTTGGTAGCTCATTGCTTGCTTCAGTTTTGAGATAGGATTAATTTCCCATCTCTCTTCCAAGGGAGAGTTCTTGTGTGTCTTTTTATCAAAGCAACGCCTGGTGGTTAAGCACCTGCATTCAACCGCTCTCACTCCTAATTGGTGTTTCTTTACAAGGTGGAGTCTCTCCTAATGCAAGAGGGGACACACACACTGCTCTGGCATTCTATGGGGCACACCGCCCAGCATGGGAAGTTGATGTCCTTTCCTTCTTATCCTTCCTTTGTGACCTGGCTGGGTCTCTAGGGAGAACTCAGGGCTGACGTTCACAATCAATGCATCATCATCATGTCTTCCGATTGCATCCCTCGTGGGCTTTCTCAGTGGGTGCAGAAAACCCACAGGGGAGAGACCAGTGTCCTTGTGTGGACTGAGAAGGGATTTGTAATTGAGGACTCGCAAATGGGCGTCATCGCAAACCCTGGCGTTTAACCAGCCACGTTAAATTTCTCAGAGAAGTTCCTGAAGGGAGCAGGAAGCATTCCTGCTGGAATGATTTGGAAAAGGACAGTGAGAATAGGCAGATCTGGAGCACTGAGGAATACTCAGCCACGGGAGATCAACAGGGCAACATCTGTCCAAGAGCAAAGTTCAGAATGCAGGAAGAGGATTAGGAGGAGGAATGATGGGAACCGGAAACGCAGGGAGTAAGGGAGAAGAGTGCTGATAGGTACGTTGTGTTGATTGTCAGTAAGAACATGTAACAAATTGTGTCTGAATTGTTGAATGGGAAACTGATCTGCTGACACATTTTGTTACATGTATGGTGAAATAGACACAACAAAACAAACACTATTCTAATAGTTTCTACAGGTACCAATGCATGACATTGATCACATTCTTCAAGCTGCGCTTTCATTCTTGTCACAAAGTTTTAGAAAAGAAAGTGGGGTATTAAGAATGAAAGCGCAGCTTGAAGAATGTGATCAATGTCACGCATTGGTACCTGTGGAAACTATTGGAATGGTGTTTGTTTTGTTGTGTCTATTTCACCACACTTAAAAATACAAAAACTGCAACAACAGATAAGACAAGCCCGTGGGGCAGGTCTCGCCTGAAACACAGAATCGACTGGCCAAAACCACACAGCCCTGTCATGAGATTGGGACTGGGTGGTGTGAGTAGTTTGTGCTCAGCTACGAACCTGAAAGTGGGTGGTTCCAACCGGCTCAGCAGCACCACGGAAGAAAAGCTTGGCGATCTGCTTCTATAAAGATTACAGCCAAGAAAACCCCGTGGAGCAGGGTTACGGGCCATTGGATTGAAGGCTCACCCTAAATCCTGGGCGATCCCTTCTCGAGATCTTTAATTGAATCTCAGCTGCAAAAAGCCAATTTCCTAATATGGTCATATTCACAACCCTGGGGAGCCACCATTGGACCTACACTTATGATGCTGTTCTTGGATTGTTTCTCTCTAGACTGCCCCCTCCTTGGGGACAGACAGTTCCGACTCCTCGTTCCCATCGATCCCAAAGGGCCATAGGAACTGTCTGCTAGTTGGATGCCACCCCCCCCACCACCCCATAATAAGCTGCTCTCACATCCTTCTTTCCTAGATGTAAAAATCCACTTCCTGAACCCTGGTCCAGGTGTCCAGGAAGAAAGCGTTGCTATTAGCAAAGCTGAGCTTGCATTCAATGTACTTACCCAATCACAATGTTTATTTCTCCCAAACCATGCCAGAGAAGATACCGGGATGGCCAAGCTCACCGAGGCCTCAGGGGACAGAGGAGGACTTGGGGATCAGTGAGCCCTCGCAGCAGCCACTGCTACAACAGAACTACCAAAAGTGGGGGGCTTTAATGGACAGATGCTCTTGAGCTTAGTTTGTTGTGATGGTTGTTGGGTCCGATTCCATGTGATGGAGTAGAACTGCCCACGGGCTTTGTTTCAGCCTTTCTCCCATGGTGCCTCTGGGTGGGTTCAAACTGCCAAGCCAGCGTTTAACCTTTGTGCCACCAGGGCACCTTCCTCACAGTGCAGGGTGCTGGCTCTCGGGGAAGCAGATGAGAGCATCTGCTCTGCAGCAGGGTCCTTGCCTCAGTTTCTCCAGCCTTTTTGGTGTTCTTCGGACATCTCCTCGTGGCATCTAGCTTTCCCCCATTTGCCTTTGCTTGCTCTGGTGCCTAGTTTATTTATATGCAAGGCCGGTGGTTCAAACCCACCAATCGCTCCTTGGAAATGGCTGGAAACCCTCTACAGGGTCACTATAAGTTGGAACCAACTCTACGGCACTTAACAACACACACAAAATATTGTAGCACCACATCAGGGCTCCTAGATAGATAAAGAATAAACATTATGTATATTCTGATGGACTTGAACTACTGACCTTGCTACTAGCTGTCCAGTCCTGTCCAGTGCTTATCCTCCAGTACCACACCAGGATCTATCTGTCTGTCTGTCTATCATCTATCTATTATCTGTATGTCTGTCTATCTATCTGTCTATCTATCTATCTATCTATCTACTATCATCTATCTATCACCTATCCCTCTATCATCTACCTATCTATCTATCTATCTATCTATCTATCTATCTATCTATCTATCTATCTATCTATCTATCTACCTATCTATCTATCTACTATCTATCATCTATCTGTCTATCACCTATCCCTCTATCATCTATCTATCTATCTATCTATCTATCTATCTATCTATCTACTATCATCTATCTGTCTATCACCTATCCCTCTATCATCTATCTATCTATCTATCTATCTATCTATCTATCTATCTATCTATCTACCTATCTATCTACTATCTATCATCTATCTGTCTATCACCTATCCCTCTATCATCTACCTACCTATCTATCTGTCTGTCTATCTATCTGTCATCTATATCAATCATCTGTCTATCATCTATCTACCTATCTACCTATCTATCT